AAAGTGTGAACCTTAAAATTCCTGAACTGAAGCTCTCTGATGTAATACGAGTGCTACAGCTAGGTGAGTGTAGCTCTTCTCTACCTGTGCAGCAGATGTGGCGGTCTGCAGCAGTCTTTGCTCCTCCCACAGACAGCGGGCAACGATGCGGGCGATATCCATCGGCTTTTCCAAGTACTTGCTCTGCAGATGTTGCTTAATCCTGCGCAGGTTATGCTGGTAGAGTACATTGTTCTCCTGCAGGAACCGGCTGTACTGCTGGTCTATTTCTCCCAAGAGGTTGTGAAACACCAGTGTGGCGTGTGACTCCTTATTGGCAGCGTAGGCCCTTGTGGAGGAGAAGATGAGATATTAATCAGGATAAGACTATTTTGAGTTCCTTTTAAGAGTTGATAAAAGAAGTTGAACTCGTTCAAATCCACCGTTCACGTGACCTTCACACTGCTTTAGATCTCATGAAAACATCCTGTATCTCACATGAGCGTGAGTACTAGGGGAAAGAAAATCTGAAAATGTCTTTCTTGTGATAATTCTGCATCTCAGTCTGGGTCTGTATAAAAAATACACGGTGACAGACAACCATGGTGATTGGCTGCTGGTGCTAATAATCTTTGCCTAAATGCTCAATGCCAGATTGGGTATCTGCACTAAAACTAATCATGGAAACCTTTAAATCAGTTTTTAAGATATTCTGCAAAGCAATTATCAAAAAAAAGAGATGAATTGGAAAGAAACATAACCTCTTTTGCTAATACTATTTTAATGAATAACAAATTTAGAAGAAAGCGTTGTCACTCGCCACAGAAAAGGTGCAGTGAAATACACAATATGCGTGAGACCCACTTAATAATGTCATGAGAGAAGAAGGCATGATCAAGGAAGATGACAATGAAAGAGAAAACACAATAGCAGTCTGCCTGGCAAGCTAACAGCAAGTCATGGTGAGTGGCCCACTGCCAGTCTGAAGAGAGTGGAGGATAAAAGCAACCTAAACGGTCCCAAGTGAAACACTTAGGAAGATCTATTGGTGGAATGAATTTAATAATCATAGGTATGTTTTCATTAGTGTATAATCACCTAAATCAGCCCAATCACTACATACTGGACCTTTAAGGGTTATCACACAGGAGAAACAAAATGCGCTTTCATAAGAGAGCCCAGGTGTTAAATTATTCCTCACCAGTCCTGACTCTCAATCCAGGGAGCAAGGAACTGCCGTAGTTCCATGGGGAAGCTGTCACTGTACAAGTGGTAGAGTTGCTCCAGATACCTCGTCTCCAGCTGCTGTAACTGGTTCCACTGGGCCATCCTGACATACACCTCCTCAAACCTACACAGATAAGATGGGGGTCACAACATAGATTAAGCAGTGTACCAAGAGAACATCTCTGGGAAGATACATACTGATAATTATTTTTAAAAAACATGCCATAACAGATTAACTCTCACACTGACCACAGATAATAGATAAATGTCAGTTTTTCTCAGAAAATTAGTATAGGCCTCGGGACGCCTCCTATTCAGCACATTCACTTCCTGTTCAGTGAAACACTACGCCTCCACCAAGAATTACAGGGTTACATGTACAGCTGTCAAGTCCCTAAGCAGATAAAGAATTACTGAACTTTGGCCGAGGCTTTGCCCCAATTGTATTCGCTAGAAACAATGAAAACCACACTTCCTTTTCTTAGGTGGTTTTGAAAACTACCACAGAAGCATAGGCCTATCCTACATAATACAAGATTAGTGTTTGTTCATTTTCTTCATATTCATTTTCTGAGGAGCACAATGCAACTTGAACAATATATTTTCATTAATCCTCATCCAGCTGCTTGCAGAGACAACTATCATCCATCAGATCCACATGGCAGATTCTACCAGCCCTCTCTTTTTACCAACACCAGACTACAGCGTTCCCTGGAGGACTGTACATTAACAACAACCAGACAATCAGTAAAGCCAAGAGAAAGTTAAATCCTCTAGCAATCTGTATTGAATGACCAGCTGACGCCTTTGCTTAAGCCTCTTACATAACTTTTAAATACTTTCGTATCGTCCGAAGTCGGACTCAAGGTTAGAGTAGCCAGTACTTAGTTGTATGTGACATTACACAATAGTGCAACAGGCAGAATTTAGACATAGGAACAGAATTTTAGTATAACTCTGATCCTTGGTAACTGATGACTCAGACATGTTCGTGACAAGAAACTAGACTTTGCTTTCTGTTTCCAGGGGCTCAGATATTGCTCTCACTGACAGAAAGCACATATATCAAAGATGGCACTGATAAAATTTCCAAAAATTGTATTCAACATCTGTCCAGGTTTCTACATCACTCACACTGTACTTGGTAAACCCCTTCAATTAGCATGTACACTTGCTCACCCCTGTCCATACACGTGAAGAGACAATATATTAGAAGCTCTTCTCAATATAAAACCATCCAATTGAACACCACCACTAACTGCAGATCTCACACAGTGCCAACACAAACTGGACACATAAGCGTTAAAATATAATCCAGCTCATGTATTTTTGGTTTTAGGGCAAACTGAAGCAAAAACATGTGTGTGTGTTTAGTTTCACCTCAATCACTTCAGTGTCCCAAGTATTCAGTCAAAACAATTATCCTCAATGACATCATATGGGCGAGCGTTAAAGGTGTGTTAAGCTATGTTACTGCGATTGTCCATCAGATGTGACAGTGTGCACGTGACCCCTTGTTCCTCTTTCACCGAAATATGAAAAATGTGCAGCTGCATGGTGTGAATTTCTGGTCAAATGAAAACCTTGAGAGGATCACATCAAAGAGTAGCTGAGTCATCATCAATAATAATGATTATAATCTTTCATTTTTGCATCATCTGAATTAGTATTTTGTTACTTTCGATTGTGTTGACAGTATCTCAGCTTGGTACTTGATTTTACATTTATCTGATGCACTAAGAAGCTGAACCTCTTGGCACAAAGTGACTTTTACTGTATAATCTTCTTCATAATTTCTTTCCATGTATTGTGCTGAATTACAGACTCACCACCTAAATTAAGGGGCTTGACCGTGTCCCTCTATGGGTTTTTGTGCAGTATTATGGCACAATACTGTTTTATTATTGAGTAACAATTATTTTAAACAATGTTTGGCACTGAGTTAATGCCACAGAGTCACTGGCTTCTCAAATGATAGGAGCCAAATGTTTATCTGGAAGGTGAGCTCATACATCCAATGGGTCAACTAAGACAAATAATTGTCTATGTTTTGAAACTCAATCTTACGGTAAGCAGGCCGTGAGATTGCCAGTAAATCTGGCAGGCCAGACAGATGTGTCCAATGCTCTGTAAAAATGTGGCAGCGACGGTAAAAGCACAATGTCATTCCTTAAATCGTGTAACAGATATTCCAGGAAGTACTTCCTTGAACAGACAAAGAAAGCAAAGTAACCGTGCCAACTTTCCATTTTACGGTCTCTGAAAACACATGTGACAATAAAATCACTATGTATGCCATTAAGCAGAGTCATAATGTAATTAATGGCAGTCAGAAAACACTGATCACAGTCAATAATGTAGTAGCCTGATACACAGATCACTATGACTCCACAGCTGTACTGGCTGCACTCCAGATGGCATTTAAAATAAAGGAAACTTAGGTTGTATGAAACACCATACAACCTAAAAACTGGGCAGAATATCTCTAGCTCTCATTTGAGGAATGGAAGAATGAATCCCAGTGCAGGGTGTCACACATGCTGGCCTGCAGATGGCATGGAGATGGGCGTGACAGATACAGGCAGTAAATAACAATAACCTGAATTTCATCGTCCACAAATGCACACAGGTGAAGTTTGAGCCACTGTTCAGCCCTGTTTAACCACAACTGACATTATGTATGTATGCCAATATTAAACTAGGCCATCCAGATCACCAACAGAAAACATAAAGTCACATGAGTAATATTATCATCCCCATAAGGAGCAGTTAAAAGTGAATAGCTACAGACAGGTGTGGTAACACTTTAGTAACTTTAGTAACAGCGGAGGGGAGGGGGCATACACACACACACACACACACACACACACACACACACACACACACACAATGTTTTCTCCACCATGAATAAATTATAACCGCGTCACAATGCTGCAATTGTAGTTCAGGGTCATTCTGGATAAAATAGCTGTCCGTGCATTAAAGTGTCCTGCTGTAACATAATAATAACCAACCCCGCCTCCCACCGGAGGAAAAATGTTTAATAAACGCCAAAAGCAGAAGTCGTTATAGTGGCTTACCAAGCTCGCTGTTATCCTTTGGAAAGTTTCTCCGTACAACAAATGTCACTCTTTCTACTAAAAAAAAACACCGACAAAAGCGGTCAGTAATGACTACTTGTAAAAAAAAAAATTAAAGACACAAACGCGAGGGAGAGCACACAGAAAATGACCGCGACCCTGAATCTTTTCGTGAAACCACGGGAAGCACTCCTCTGATGGCAGCACAGCTCTCACCGAACCCATCTCCTACATTGCAGTCTTTTCCAGCCAGACAAACTCCACCAACTGCTTTATTGACACCTCCAACGGCCAATAACGGTCGACGTCTCTGCGGCGGCCAATCAGAAGGCGGTTTACAAGCGCGAGGGGCGGGACGTCACTGTGAGGTTGGTTGAGAGCGTCGTGTTTACTGCTGTCGCAACTGCGCTGTTCCCCCAAGCGCACCCTCCCTACGGGCGGACCGCAGAGTTGGACCGCGCGTTGGTTCGCTGCGGAGGGAGTGCGAGCGCTTCGATGGAACAGCCAGCCTGGAAGTCATCTGAGTTACTGGCAGTGTCGACGTCATCAAGAGTTTAATTACACCAGGGCTGTTCATTATTGACCTCTCCTGATCTCAATCCAGTGGCTGCTTTACCCAAGCCTCTCCCCACAACAGGTGAACAAATAGAAAATACACAAGCCTATGATCAGGTAGCATATGTATATATAATAAAAACAATAATAGGCAGTACATATTATTCCGTAAGCTTTTATTTAATATTGAAGTGGTTAGGCAAAAGAGGCCTTGAACACAACAGAAAAGGCAAGCTTCATTATTTTGTATGAGTATGAATCAATAACATAATAGAGCAATTATATGTCACATTGTGCTGCAGCAGATTTTTTTTTCAAAATGAACAATGTCGCTATATAAGCTGTGCGTGACCTACCCCATGCTTATAGGAGGCCGGTTCCATTTTTTAATAACCAGTAGCTCAAAACAAGGCAAAATATACATGGTGGCAAAAGAACACACACAGAGGGACCAATATATTACAAGTGTTTCAGTGTTTGAAGTGTTGAACAATAAATATATGTATTTGTTCTTTTATGAAATGTCCACTTAATGCTGATATGAACCTTGACTTTCACCAAAATGTTATATCGTATGCACATACTTACTCTTCACAGTCTCTCACACAGACAGAGATAGACACTCATCCTTGTTGTCCGTCCTTCCCACCGTTCTCTACCCCACTCAGTGCTCAGAGGGAGCACTCTCTTTAATTGCATTCTCCAGCCCATTGATTATTTTAATGGTGTGTCATGCTACACACTGGGCTTCTGCACGGCTACACCACATCAGGATCACACACAAAATGGAAGCCGTACCATCTTCTTGTCCAGGGCCATGTGTGCTTGTCTTACACAATCAAAGGTGTTAATGATTGAACATTGCCTCTGGCCCTTTTTTACATCAGGCTCAGATAAATACAATCCAATTGTCATTGCTTCCTCTAAACCGGCATAATTGTCTTTTCTAAGTTATAACGATAATACTTAATGAGTTATGGTCCGACAGCTTCATTGTGGACGTTCCTTTTATAATTCAGAGGAAGTACACAAGATTGCACCTAGTTTCTGCTAAAAAGGCTTGTGGACTGGATCATGCTGTTCCGGTTTTCTGACATTTATTAGAGTGCCACACCATTCCTAAAACTTGGCAGTGCACTGTCTCACTTCAATTGCATTTAGGATGATATTTCCATCTCCATGTATTACGTAGTCAGCCATTAAACTGTCATCTTGCTCTTCAGACCATCATTTTTCTCTGCAATTACCTTGGGAAAATTTAATAGGGATGTGCAAATGTACTGTGGTAAGATGTGGCCATGGTAACACAGTCGTTTTTCTTCTCTGTGCAAAGTGTCCTATGTGGAAGTTGGTGAGTGCAGGTGCAATAAATACAGTCAGGTGAATATACATCAAAACATTGCAATAAATGATCGAGCAAACCGTGATTTCAAGCATGCATTGTAAAGATACTCCGCAGCGGCTCTGAATATTTTATTATAGCTGAGATTTTAAATGAATGACCAATTAAGAACTCAAAATAGACAGCGATATTTCCCCACATAACGTCCAACTCAGTGGGGGAATACTGATTCTTTTTTCCATCAATACACAAAATATGTCCATACAGGATACTGACTTGCTTTTCCAAACGGTAAAATATTAAATTGAATTGAATTATGGTTGCAAGTGCACAGCAGTAACTTTATTGTAGTGTGTTTAAATATTCCAATAGTTGAATTTGTCAGCGTTTTAAAGTCCCCAATATAATTGATCAGACATTACACTGTATTTGCAGGCATTTACATTTGTAATTTACATTTGGCACAATGCCTGAGTGGCAGTAAATAAGCTTTACGCCCTAATGCTTTTTGCATGTCAGGGGTAATGTTTTTGTAAACTCTTCAGTCGAGGAAAACCTCTCCTCCTGCCTCCTCAGTCCTTTGTTTCTCCTGTAGGACCTAAACCTTGCCTATCTGTTCTTTTTATTTGTTTCGCACGTGCACATTACATCACCAAAAATCATCCATTCAAACTTAAATCCCGCCAACCACTTCCTGTTACCATACTTCCTAATGTGCATATCATACATTAAAAATATTATATTACACATTACATCTCAATAGCAAAGACTATTTATACCTTTTTTTTTCTTATAGCCACTCAATTGATCAAACCAACAACAAACAGTAAGTAAAATAAACATACAGGTCTAAGATAACCAGTCAGCCTGCAACATGTTTCAAAAGCTAGCTTTGTTTTTGTTTAGTTTTTCTTATTTGTATGCTAAAGGGGGGGAAATATGAAAGTCATCCCTGTTGGGTACAATAAAAAGAGATCAGACAACAAATGAGATGTCATAGATTGTGATCACGTCTAGAAAGTCCCTACAACAAATATAGTGTCCTCATGATTAGACTCATTCGTCAAGACTCGGTTCCCCTCTTCCTTCTTGTATCTCTCACTTCAGCCCTGCAGAATTGGGATGCTCTATTCGCTTTGGGCCTTCTTTAGGTGGTCTGGTTCCACCCTGACCAGCGGAGAGTCCTCAGTCACTTCCAACAGAGCTTCCATGTCTGGGCTGTCTACTCTCACCAGCTCCCCTTCCTCCACTTCCACATGCACACCCAGCCCATTTTCCTCTCCCGCTGGCTGGCCCTCGGCCTCGGTCACCTCCACCATCTCTGTGTGCTGCACCACCTCCTCCTCCCCTTCTCGGATCTTCTTAACATGGAAGGTGAATGGCGGCACGCGATACACAGTGGTCTTGGAGCGAGCGTAGACCGTGTGGTCAGGGGTGAGGGACTTCTTCATCTTGTCTTTGGAGGTTTTCATCTTCACCCTGCGCTCCAGGTTAGGGGTCATGCGGGTCCCGAGCTTGCCAATCTTCTTCTCCAGGCTGTGCTTGGTTTTCTCAAGGTTGTCACGGGTTTTCTGTCTTGTCTTCTCCAGGTTCTCGCGGGTTCTCTGCTTGGTCTTCTCCAAGTTCTCCTTGGTCTTTACCTTGGTCTTCTCCATTTTCTCTTTGGAGAAGGCTTTCTTTATGTTGTCCACTTGCTGTTTAGTGGTGCGTTGGAGGCGCTTGGTACGAGATTCTTCGATAATCTCCTCAATCTCCACCTCCTCATCTGAGTTGAGATTGTCTGGGAGTCCCTCTCGTCCTTCCTCGGGTATCTGCTCGAGGCCCTCCACGGCTGTCCCTTCAGCAACTGTCTGTGCTGTCTTGGTTTTGGATGTCTTCGGTGGCTTCACTTGGTCCTGAGGAATGATAAGAAAAACAGAAGACTATTAAGCCATAGCAGCATGATATGAAAATGATCACAATGTGTGAATTGAATAACATTTTCAATTTGACATTTACTACAATATTAGCAGACATGGTGCTACACTGATTGTATTCTGTGAATAATGTAGATAATAGAATTTCATTTGATGTCATATGGAAATGATCAGCCTGAGAAAGTGAGGTTAATGGCCTTTAGGTGAGAAACGAAATTGAAAATATGAGCAAGATACTTCACTAATACATGTGTCATCTACACATTCAGTGCACACATTTCTCTGCTTGTAGCTAGTGTGTGCCATCTAGTGGTGTCAATTATATGCCAACAACCAAGAACCTGCATGGTTGCACTCAGTTATTTTACACTTCAAGTCTTAGAAATATAAATACAAAGCTAAAACAAAAACAAAAACTATTTATTTTATACCACATAATAAAAGTATTGGGCTTAAAAGAAAGCCTATATTATCTGCTACTCTGCAGTCATATTGAAACTAAAGCAAAAGCTGTAGCTATAGCTAACCACAGGTTTATTTCCTGCCATGTTACTATCATTTCTCTATAAAAATGTTTTGTTGACTTAAAGTCCTAAATTCCAATCTAATCAAATCTAACAGTACAAACAAATAAGACCTTGAGGTGATTTTGCAGATAAAAATGTTTGGAAAAATGAAGTTGTAGTTGTAAAAATTGTAGTTGTTTTTATTATTTCTAATGCTTTCACTTCACTGGAAAGATCTGGTGGTTAGTGCAGTTCCAATTTGACCATATAATGTTCAGCACAGCAGCACAAGCACAGCAATTTCACACCTTTTCACAAAAAAACCCCATCTACATGTAACCCAGACTTGGGGTCACAGTAACTGTTACACATACAGAAACACCAATTGTAAAACCAATTGCACAAAGGGTCTGCAACTGCATAATGCAGAGTTACTAGATAAAAAACTATACTGCTGTAATGCTAACAGATGCCAATCAATCAGTACTGCAGCAACCATATTGCCATATTGTTTGGCAGGACACTGTCAGTATGGTACCAGATATCCACACAGGGAGACACAGTACTATTCTAAGAATGTTATCCCCCCTAACTGCATGTCTGTGCCCTCTAGAGGGATTAGAGGTCCCACCCTGCTGAACCTCAGTGTGCCACTTTAGATGTAATCCTTGCACCACCATCATCTTCACTGAATTTGTAGATACACACTTGTGACATTCTAAATACACACACACATATATATATATATATATTCTATATGAAATTAAGTCAGTTTTAGGAAGGCCGAAAATGACACTGATATTTTGTATTGCTGCTACTTATAGTCATTTTTAATTTAGTTAAATTGGGACCTTTTGTACAGCGTACCTTATAATGTTAATTAATTATTCTTATTCTTATTCTTAGGGTTAGGGTTAGGGTTATTATTATCTGACACAAGTGTGCATCTTCATTACCCAGTCTTATTTGAAGAACAATCTTCCTGTCACTTTAGATTAATCTTCTTTATGAGATTTTTTTGACTTATCAATGTTTTCGAATAAGGTTTAGAAGCTTATATGAAGGTTGGTTTTGTAGTGTACTTACAGTATTTATAGTAGAATTGGATTTAAGCACTGATATTGATCTTCTGAAAGAAAGAAAAAACACCTGTTCTATCATGTGATCAGCTCATCTCCCTGCGCACTTCAAATATTGTCACGCGATCCTATCATAAAATGGGCATTGCCTCCTTTTCTGGGGCTGTGTATGGTGTGGGCCTGGCCGACCCGCTCTGTATGGGTTTATTTTGGGCTGGCCTTTCCCTCTCTCTGGATTCCATCTACTGTTCACTGGCTACCAGCCACCTCAGCTTTCAGTCCCACCGACACCCCCACAACCACACAACACCGCCCCTCCCACCCCCCACCTTCCACACAGCAACAGATAAACACACTGCTCTGTCACCATGGCAACCACCTGCTCATGTTGTCTCTGGTGCGTGGTGAAGTTTAGCTGGATAAACAGCTGACATCTCTACAACAATATACTGTACATACATGAGGTTCTCAGTTGTTCTGAAGTATGTTACAATGAAACTAAAATAAATACTGCACCTGCTTTAATTTTAAATGAATGAGAGATTTTAAATGCATGAGCACATAACCCTACCACAACATTTTTCCATAGATTCTGTCTGAATGATAATGTAATATGATGGACAAAACTGAATAAGACAAACATGCAAAGTGCTGAAATGTGACCAGATTTTTGACTAGAATTTATTAAAAAAGTAAATATAAAAGTAAACATGTGTACTTATGGTACATAAAACATTGCAAACTGTGTGACTCACACTGTGTGTCTAAGAAACAGTTTAGGTGACCTCATATATCCCTGGCAAAACTTGCTTTCTGCTGTGGGGTGAGTTTGGCTGGTGGGCTAAAAATTGAAAGAGTGTTAATCTTACATTTAAAAATATATATAAGTATATTTCCTGTGTTCCTGGAAGAAACGGCTCATAGGAAAGACAACCTTTGTGTATAATACCCACATACAAATGTACAACTATGCATGAGTATGAGTATTCATGCTGACATGTGCACCCCCACCCTCACAGACAGAAATGTAATTATAGAGGGGTTTTTTCCATGAAACCATACTGTGAAAACTTTTCATAAGAAGTAGGGACCTCAACAGGAAACCTATGCAGCTAATGGAAAAACTGCAGTGCACAGCATCCTGGGAACAGCCGAGGTCATACAAAATAAAGAAATTACAAAATGGTTAAGGACCACGCCAGCTCTATACCTCGCTAAAGATATGTACTGCTTAATCAGGATCATCACCAACAAAAGCAAAGCACAAAAGAGTTTCAATACAATACAGTTATGATTTTTTAATTACTTTAAATGTGCTTTATGGGTCCACATGATGTTGGTCACATTTTAACATCATCATCATCATCATCATCATCATCATCATCATCATATCATAAACCTGTCAAGTTATGGTTCAACCATTTATTATTATTAACATTTGATTGTGATGTAAAGTCGATCCCGACTGATTCTAGAGTTTTTAGACCAACACCCATATTGATAATAGAAAATCTGGCATTATATCGGTTGATAGTAATAAATACATAACTGAAACAAGATATACAGAGCTCTATGTAATGTATCTAATCTAAATGACCTCAGACCTAGTTTGGAATTTCTGTACTGCAATGTTTTGCTATTTAGCGACTGGCATATACGCCGATGCGATATATCTGTAATAAGCTAACAGCCAATATATCTGTCTGGTCAATCTCTAAAGACCATATTTATAAATGTGGGTGTATTTTAGTCATATTTATAGGTTTGAATATTTTACTGGACTTTCAGGGCTTGTGGGAACTGGGAACTTGTATGCAAAAACGGAGACATTGCCATGTTGGAACATTTTGTTGTTGACATTCTTAAAACTTGAGTCAGTCTACTATATCTGTGGAAATTGTGATAATATCAGTGAACCCTGTTTGGGTTTCTCTGCCTAATTACAAAGCAAGAGACTGGGAGCTTGAGGAAGAAGATGGTGAGTCCATTAGTGGCCCTGTGTTACCTTCCTCTCTCCTCCCATTTACCAGCAATGGAAAAGTTGGCCCTCTGTGTGTCTGTGTGTGTTTACTGACAGGTGCCAGGGGAATGATGACTGAGTGTGTGTGTGCTCAATGAGAAGGAGGTCTGTTGCTAAAGTTACTTTCCTCCAAGAGTGACGTGAATTATACCTCATGGAAAAGATGGCTAGAAAGAGTGAACTCTCTCTCTTTGAGTGTGTACGTGTTTGTGTGTGTGTACTTGATTTACTTGGACAAGCCAACAACTCTCTGCTCCGTCTCTCAGAGCGAAAAACAACACCGGAGATGCAATTAAAAAGCCCCAGCAGACTGAAGGGAAAGATTTTGGTAAACAGCTAAAACCCCATTGAGAACCTATTTTCTAAACCTATAGTAAAAATGATGTATATTCTGAAAAATCTTTAAATTTAAGGCAATCATGCAACAACAGCAATGCTTTTTTCATTGTCTAAATATTATCAGAGGCTAAATGTTCTCTGTCTGACTCATACAAGGTCTCTGGGATAATTTAATCACCGACTGTTACCATGGACAACAGAGCAAACAGTGTTCTCAATCAGCCCTATACAGAGACTAGCAGCTTTGACTAAAGCCACAGGCATCTACCTTTCTCCATCCCCTTCTCTGTGTCTCTATCTCCTGTTACAAGACCTCCATCAGTCCAATATTCTTGCTTAGGTATTTCAATATGTTGTAACCCACAATGATTTCAGCAGTTAATAGCTTTAATAAAATAATTAAAATAAACACGTGAAAGATTACTAAAAGAGGTTTTCGATAGCACGTTTCATGCCGTCAGAAATTACCTGCAGACCTTCCAAACCTGTGCAGCTTTTCGTTTGTTATGTTCAAAACACTTTGCATCAAAATAAAGATCTGCTAATTGTATACTGTTATGATTAAAATATACGCTATCTATTAAAATAATGCAACCTTAATTACAGAAGTGACCTCATTAGTAACATAATGCTGAGAATTATCCAAGCAAATTTAAACAAGGAATATACTCTTATTAGATAAATGACTTTTTATTTAGTGTATATATAATATATTTTTTTAACATTTGTTCCTTTACAGCAATATCTGAGTACTAAGGATGAGTAGCAAGCCTGACTTCTGTTTACATATTGAATCCATGCACATTAACATTCACGACTCTGATCCACCTAGAATCGTGCAGACATTTAGCAACTTGCTGGGTGGTAGATAAACACATACACACACAGACACACACTATTCCTTTTAAGGAAGCGTGATGAAAGGCCTCTCCGGTGAGTCACAGGAGCAGCTGTCTGATCCTGTCCAGTCCTTGCAGCTGTGCACTTAGCTTTCACAATGAGTGATATCACTGACCCTTGTGCCCGTCCAGGATG